TGCATTTAGGAAACTGCAAACTAAACCGTACATAACCATTTCCAAAAATTTGAGATACAGGGCCACACACAATATAGTTGCAAAACACTATCAAAATAACTCGTGTAATTTTATTATTAGATCAAGCTTCATTATTAATCACTCCTACATAATGAGAAAACGTAGAAAAATCACATTAAGAGTATCAAATTAAAGCCAAATCTAACAGGATTTATTTGTATACCAAGATTTAATCTCAAATGCTAGTAACACATTTGGACAATAGTGCTTCTACAGATTATCCAATAGAAAAACAGATGTTATGAGGATTAAATTTCTATCAATCTACATTCTTATATATTTGTATGCAGAAATGAAAGGTAAGTTAGAAATCTGGAAGAGAGGTTTAAAAACATACATGCAATATCTTTTTAAAAAAAAAAATACATGTAGCACAGGGTTGAAATAAGGGTTTCTTGGTGCTGTCTGATCTTGGTTGTTTTCTTGCAGATGTTTCATTACCCAAATTAGGTAACATCATCAGTGCACTGATGACATCTTCCAGAAAACAACCAAATTCAGTGAGCACCAAGGACCCCTCAAAAATCTTACAAATAGAAAAAGATGTAGAAGACTGAGTTAAACAGACTGATATAGCCAAAGATATACCATTTGCGCTTGATTATACCATTTTAACACTATAACTAAAATCTATATTCTCTAAAATGTGAATCAACAAATAGTCACTAATATCACCACCTGGAAATATTTGTTTTTACTGGAGGAAGGTTCTTTTTTCTTTCTTTAATGGGAATTATATTAATTCTCTATTGTAAAGAGCCAAAGTAGTTTCTCTAATTGTAAATATAACTGCATTCAGATGTAACCAAACCATAAAACACAAATTGCGGTGAGCACCCTGGCCAGACACTCCATCTTTCTTTCTACACAAAGTACCAAAAAAAATTAAAAGCACTCAAAGTATATTTTGCAGCAGTTAAACTTAAAATTATAAATAATTTCTAACCTGTTTCTGCAGTAACATGCAAAACTGAGATAAACTTGCAGTTATCAACTACTCAGAAGGAAAATCTATAAGTGAGTAAGCTTGCCACTTGTCCACGTGGATATCTATCTGAAGCTCCTTCTTTTTAAAGAAACTAGCTCTTGAATTCTTTATTACTGCTTGTTACAAAAAAAACATTCCCAGTCTAAGACTGGAACATTTCCTGTTTTGTTTATTAGATTCTTTTATCCTGCTTTTATTTATTTATCTCAAAGTGGCAAATATACACAACTTTCCTTCCTCCTCCTAATGGTCTCATTGGTCTATTACTAGCCATAATGAGCTAGTCTTAGAGGGACCTGAAGGTCCTATTGTTGTACATATACATCTGAAACAGAAATCAGCTCCTAAAGGCAAGCATTTAGTAAGACTTCATGTTATAGAATGCTGAGGGGGAGTGAATGTAGTTTGGAAGCATCAATTCAGGTGTATATCATGGGGTAGAAATGATGGTATACATTAAAACCTAATTATTGCAAGGAAAAGGCGATGGACTTCTAGTTAGTTTATTTTAAAATGCATTCTCAATATGGATATCACAACGAGAGTGAATACAACCCTCTAGCTTAAAGATCATTCTTATTAGTACTATGCCAGTTGCTGCCGTAGCTTAGTAGCATGTTTCTCCAGGATTTATTCCTGAATGAGATTGTCAATCTGGAGACTTAGCTGACTGAAAAAAGATAAATTAATATTAGTCATTAGTACTATTTTAGAAAGCCCCTTTTTATTATTTCAATTTCATTTCAAAATAAATTTCGTATGCTAAACCATTTCATTTTGTATAAATAAAATCTGAAACCTGAAGAATGAAATTTCCTTCAAATGAATGAATTAATTTATGGCCATAATAAGGATAGTAACATTTTAAAACATGCCCTTGTCTGATGATCATTCATTCAGTGATTGTTCAAACTAGCAATGGCAGTGAATGAGAGGTAGTTATGACTAGCCCTTGTATGGCTGGCAAGCATCCCTATGATGATAATTTGCAATCTTCCCTCCTGGCTTCCAACAAGCAAAATCAATGTGGAAGCCGGCAGGAAGTCACAAGTCACATGAGGTCCTTGCCCAATAATCCAGTCCTCTTTTAACAATAACCATCAGGATTATCGGAACTGCCATTGCTAAGCAGCATGGTCACATGGTATTTCAACTTACAGCCATGTCACTTAACAATGGAATTTCTCCCCTCAATTTGTATTGTTAAGTGAAGACTATCTGTATTCTTCCCACAAAGATTCTCACTTTTAAAAGACTCCCTAAAACGGTTCTATATTCTGGTGTTTAAGTAAACTTCATAATCAGTCTTTAACAACTGTTATCCACCAATGATTTTGGGCTTATCATTTTCTTACATCCCAGTCTTTCACTAACAGATTGTCATTTGGGGGAATAATGAGAGGGGAGTATTATGTACACTACCTTTAGCTTCTCAATGAAAAAGGTGGGATATAAATCTAATAAACAGTTCTGTTCAACTAAAAACTATGACTAAACCCAAAACTAAAATGATCGCCTTAAAGATGTAATAAATATTCATAAACAGAATCTGAAAGGAAATATGGATAAGTTTATAGGCCATGCAACCAATATATATTGAATAGAAATTGAAAACAAAATTACTGAAAGTTGTAGCTTCAGCAATACAAATTAGTTTTCTGCTCAGTGGATTGTCAAAAATGAAATAAAAGGTCCATTTATTAACTTAAACAAGGCCAAGTACAGTAGTCATTGAATTTTCTGCTGCCTGGATATATTTTACTGACATTTGGGATTAGCTGTGAACTCATGTGCAAAAAGCTTCCTTTAAAATATGTTACAAATTTTTAGTGTGTAAACATTTTTAATATTGCAGCAGCAATATTACAGTCTAAGTGTTGTCACATCTTACTATTAAACACCTGGTAACTACTGTCCAACTTTTCTAACCTACTACTTGAAGTGTATGTGTGTATGTGTTGTATGAACCATCTGATTAATGTACTGTATGAAGAATAAATAATAAAAATACTCAACAAAATGATTAAAATTCCAATGCCTGGATCTATTAATATTTACCGGGGCAAAATCTTTAAAAAAACCAATCTAAATCATTTATCAATATCAAAGTTTCAGATTAATTGGATAAGATTTTAGCAGATTGCAACACTGTTATAAAACTTCAAAATAATTGGCTGCTATAGCAATTAAAAAGTGCCTTTTGTAAAATCAAGATACTCAGAAACACTTTAGGAAGCAGGTAGAATGGCACGAATTCCAACAAATAACATGAAGGTAAGCTACTGAGCCAAGGCTTCAGTGGGACTGGCAAACAGCTTATGCATGTTTTAAAACTTCAATAATAAACTTTCAACTATTATTCCGAAGTAGAAATAATTTGCTAAGATTTACACACTGTTAGAAGAGTAAGCATCTTCCAGTTTGGATACTGTTTACTAATAGTAATCCAACAATGACAGTGAGTCAACTCTTGACACTCCACAGAAGCAGGACAAAAATAAACAGGTGTTTTAAAAAAATAATGCTTATCCCTTTGCATTTTAATTTTGTTCCATTTTTTAACAATTTACTTTTTTGAATTACAAACAAAGTAATGGAAAACTTAAAAGGGAATTACCAATTAATTGCCTGTTATAAAATGAAGTGTCTTAAACTACAATAAGCAATAAACTATATTTACTATGTATCTTCAAAAAAAAATCTAATTGTTCTGTTTCAAAAAAAAAATCTCATTCAGAAAAACTTGTAATAAGCAAAATACATAAAGAAGTTAATACTGATTATTCCTTCCTGGCAATCTGATTACTTGGTTTCTAAAGATATAAATACTTATAACAAATGAATGAATACATCTTTTAAAAAACTACTTTTGCTTGCTTATTGGAAGAAAAACACATTACACAGGCCTCCAGAAACAGACACAACAGAAGTTTAGTAACCTAGTAAAGTAAATAAACTATCAAGCAATCCCCAATTTGCCTACCAAAAGTGTTCCTGAAATTGCCTGCCTCTAGCAACACATTCATTTTGGCAATATAGGAAAGGCAAATGGCTAAATTAAGCATTTGTCTTAATACAAGTAACCATCTAAGAGGTGCATACTTAATGGCAATGGGGGACGGGAAGTCTGCTGCTGTGAATCAATAACCTTTTCTTTCTGTAGTTTACCTGAAAAAATATGTTACTGAATAAATATATATGTTAATAATTACATAAATAAATGTTACTGAAAAACATATTTACTGACAGAGCCACGTACAGATAGGACGCAGCATTTAAAACACCCGAGCTCCTGTGATTTGTGAATGCCATGGACACTTTTGTTGTTTTTTTAAGGGCCCAATTCAATTACAAATACAGTTGTATTTGTACCATTTATACAAATACTCACGTTTATACTGCTCCCTGTTGTTTTGTAAGCCATTGACAAATCAAATAAATCAATAAAACAGTTACCGAAAACAACCAATCTGTCCAACCTGGACACTTATACCCGGGGCACTCCATTCTCACTAACAAATTACACATTAAAATGGGATGGAAAGTTTGGGGGAAACTATAGATATTAAGGAGAGGTCCACCACCACCACCCACCATTGCAGGAACAAAGATGAGAAGATTTTTAGGAGGGACGACGGGTTTTAAGATGCAGAGTAAAGGAAAGAAATTTCAACGTGTATATAGGCCAACTTGGAGAGAAAGAATTCATCCGAGGACGAGCAGAGGTCTCCTTCCAACGGGGGACACGTTTTATATATATATATATCGAGTTTGTATATACATATACAAATATATATACATATATATATACATATATATATATATACATATATATATTTGTATATACATATACAAACATATATATATATATACAAACTCGACTGTCGGGGGGGGGGAAGACATGAGGGGAGGGTCTCTCAGAAGAGGGGGGGGAAATATTGCTCAGAAGTACCTGGGGGCTCCTGTCGACCGGGTTTTTCATGACCGCCTGGCGGAAGTTATTATCCACGTAGGACGCCATATCGCTCCCCCGTTTTCGTTCCGTACTTCAGGCCGGCGCGGCGGCGGCGGCGGCGGCGTCCCGGCCCGGTTCCCGTCGCCCTTCTTCCACGTTCAGGCGCCTCTTTTTCCTGCCCGGGAAACCGAGACGGCGCCTGTCCCGGGCGAACGAGTTATCCTCCACTTCCCCCACCCCACCCGCCCACCCCCCAAACGTGGCAAGGAAAGCTGAGGTAAAAGTCGCCCCGGCTGAGGTAAAAGACTCCCGCAGCTGCTACTGTTCGTCCTCCGCGACCCCCCTCCGCCTCAACAGCGCCGCCCTCCGGTCGGGCCCCTCGCCCAGAGGAGTCGTGGGTGCTGGCGGCGGCAGAGACGACGACGACGACAGGCGGCGGCGGCGGCTCCCAGCCCCGCCTCTGCCGGCCTGCCCAACAGTGGTGTTGTCGCTGTCGCCCTCCTCCCCGCTCCGCCGCCGCATCCCCTCGAGCGGCAGGGGCGGGAGAAGGACCGCCGCGTCCTTTTGTCGAGCTCGGGCCTGGAAAAAAGGATGAAGGAGGCAGGAGGAATTTCGGAAGAGGTGCGGAAAGAAGCGGGCGCCGGGCCAAGCAGGCGGACGGCGGGGAACGGGGCCTCCTCTTAAGGCTCGCCTGGGCTTTGTGCCGCGGCAACCATGGTGAGGCGACGGACGAAGAGAGGAGGGAAAAGCACCGCCCGGCCCGCACCGGCAGCAGCAACAGCGAGGCTGGGAGGAGCCGCGCCGCCTCACGTTCCCGCCCCTCCGAGCTGAGCTCGTCCCTCAGCCGCGCCGTCGCTTCCCTTCTCAGGGCCGCGGTCGAGCGGTTGCCCAAAAGCACCGGGATTCCTTGGACCGAACCACCGGCTCCCTTCTTCTCTCTCCCTCTCTCTCTCTCTCTTCCAATTTTACTTTGGGAAATGTCGCCCTAAACTGGGACTTCTTGGAATTGTGGAAAGGGGAGAAGCGAATTTGATAAGCAAGGGTGCCCTGTGAGGAAGTTTCAGAAATGTAAACCGCATTCGCTACAATCCTGGTTGGAAAGAGTATATACCCCTTTCAGCACAGGCTGGGAGATATAACCGATAATCAGAGTTGGAAGGGACCTGGTAGGTCATCTAGGCCAAGGGTTGCCAACCTTTTGTACCTCGGGGACCATTTTTAAATCTCGCGGACCAGAGACCCTGGGAAAAATCCCCCCAAAAAAAGTCTGCAGGAGAATTCCCCACCCCGTTTTCTTACCGAACGATAGTTCTTTATTTGGGATCATAGGATATCGTCTCCAGCTCCGTTCTCAAGAGGAGAGAGAGAGAGAAAGAGATATTTTTGACTTCATGCAAGGAAAGCAGCAGAAGCAGCAGGAGTCTTTTTCTCCTCCAAATTCCTCCAGAAATGAGTCTTTATGAGACTTGTCATACCTGCGCAGCCTTTTGGAGCAGGATGCCTTGCAGGGTCCCACAGACTCATTTCTGGCCAGTGGTGGGTTTCAATTTTTTTTACTACCGCTTCTGTAGGTGTGGCTTGATGGGCATGGCAGGGGAAGGATACTGTAAAATCTCCAGTCAGAGGTGGTATTTGCCAGTTCTCCAAACTACTCAAAAGTTCCGCTACAGGTTCTCCAGAACTGGTCAGAACCTGCTGAATATCACCTCTGTTTCTGGCGCAGTTTGAGGGAGAGAAAGAAAGACTGTTGCTGCTTTCCTTGCGTGCAGCCAAAAGCAGAAGTGGAAAGAAGCAGCCCGGTGGCCAGGCAAGGCGCGTGGGGCAATTGGTGCAAGTTCTCCCCCTCTGCCCTTCCTCCCTCCCCTCACTACCTTGTGTTGTTCGCAATGTAAGTGATGCAAGCCTTGTGTTCCCACGGGCCATGTGGGCGGCATAGCCTTGTGTTCCCGCGCAGCCTGGATTAACTGCTTTGGAGGTGACATTTCTCTGTGGACCACCAAAATTTTCTCACAGACCACCAGTGGTTCCCAGCCCACTGGTTGGCGACCACTGATCTAGTCCAACCCCCCCCCCCCAAGCAGGAAACCCTACACCATTTCCGACAAATGGGAGTCCAATCTCTTGAAAGTCTCAAGTGATGAAGCTCCCACAACTTCCGAAGGCAACTTCTGTTCCATTGGTTGATTGTTCTCACTGTCAGAAAGTTTCTCCTTATTTCCAGGTTGAATCTCTCCTTGATCAGTTTCCATCCATGATTCCTTGTCTGGCCTACAAGCGCTTTAGAAAATAGCTTGAATCCTTCCTCTCTGTGGCAGCCCCTCAAGTATTGGAAGACTGCTATCATGTCTCCCCTGGTCCTTCTCTTTACTAGACCAGTTCCTGTAAAAGGTTAGGAGAAAGAAACCTTGTGGACCCATCTTTCCCTCCCAGTGGCAATGATTTTGGTGGGCTTTAGAAAGCCTAGGAAACTTGATCAGCCTTCTTCAAACTCTTCACATCTGTTTGAATCCCATAACTGCACAGTGGCCTCACCTTCCTTGTAAGGAATTAACCATTAGAAGGTATTAGATAGGATAAAACATCTGAATACTCTGACAGTAATCAGGGTTAATAAGATTCTTAAAGGCATTTGGCCCCACGCTGAACCATAATCATGATGATTGGCTTCCCATAACATGCTAAAGCTAAGATAAAATGTGATTGCCTATCTTGTGGTTGCTTGTTGTTGGAACATAGCTACATTGTCTGAATATATGAATAAAGCCAACAGTATTAAATTTTCAGGCCTGATGTTTTACAAAGTTAAATAGGACTTGCATACATACGTCTTATCAGTGGTATAAGGCTTATTATTAAAATACCCTATTTGACATGTTATTTTCAAAGCACTCCCAGGCAGTTTAATTACTTTCCATTTGTACTTTGAAGGAATAAGACAGTCACTCAATCTATAGCCCCACTTCTCATTCTCTCGGACTTTCCAAAATTGTGTTTTCCTAAAAAGCCTGCTGGCTAAAGCAGATGGGAAAATAAATGTTCACTATCACCCTCCAATTAATTTTAAGGCAAGTAAGATGTTTTTTCCAAGATTGTAGAGTACAACCTAATCACTAAATCGTTTCTTTTTAGCTGTAAGCATATAAGTCCCCTCCTGAGTGTTGTGCTAATTTAATGTAGGCTTTTATCAGTATCAGTTAAAAAATAATTATTTCATACAACCAAGTTAATGAAACAATAATAAAACAGTAAGCATTATATACAGATTCAAGACCCAAAATAAATAGATTTTTGATAATCACACATTCCTTTGAGAGGAAGCCAGTGGTATGTCATGTTCCTAGTAAAAGCTCCTATCCTCCATCAAAGCTCCTCTGTATTTGCCAAATGTCCTTGCTTTCTGATAAAAGTCTTAAAAAGTTATTTCTAATCTAAATTATGGAATGGATTTTTTATTTAATCACTTGAGTCTTTATGAAAGTTATATTTATAACTTGAAATTCTATTTGCCATACACTAACTGCATGAAGGATGCTTCACATATTACACTGGTGAGACTAAAGTACCTACAATGAAATGTGTGGATGACTTTATCTAATCGTATTTCCTATCTGGTTACTTTGAGATGGCTGACTGCGCCTCTCTTCAAAATGTTTTTACTAATAGTTATTATTAAAGTTTATAGGTAATAAAGATACAAATGAATACAAACTAAACAAAGAAAAAACAAATAGAAAAGAATGAAAAATGTAAGTGTAATAAAGAAAAACAAAAGAAAGATATAAGGAAATGACTTCCCATTTCAGTAAACAACCTGAGGATCCAATAAAAGTTCTCTATTTTCCACATCTTATTACTTATCTATAAACAAATCTTTAAAACCACCTCATTCAATTCTGGTTAGTAAAAGCTCAATAAGAATTGCCAAAAACAACAACTTATCTCTCAGAGCTCTAAATCCACTGGAAGCCACTTTCTTACAAATCTCCTGAAGAGGATCTGGAGAATTTGTGAGGCATCCTGAGTCCTCTCCTTATCCACAGGGGAATTCTCAGCAACCAAGCCATTTGCTGGCTCATTTCATTGCAGTCATCTTCGGTTTGCCATTGTTTTTTTCTGATGTCACTTATCTTCAAAATGTTAAAACAACTGTATCTTTCATGTCACCATGATTGCTTAAATGCTTTCCGAGCTACCTGCACATATGTGTCCATGCACAAACAAAATTTCTGAATCAGAATTGTTTCTGAACACATTTGTACTGGTGACAGGGAACTTTAAATCACACATGCAAAACTTTCTGGAAGGTATTTCAAGGAGAGATGCTTTTGCTGTCACCAGTGCACTATCCAAAGTGCCTCATTCAAATCCGTTCCCTGTGAAATTATGTGGACATTTAAAGAGCAATACTTCAACTGTATTTTGCCATAGACAACTCACTAGATATATCCTGAGGTGTGGTTACACTGAACTTCCTCCCCCCCTCCAGCTCAGGACTGCACTGTCTTAATGTGGATCTCTCCCTGCAAAAGCTCTTTATTGCCAAACCCCATTCCTTTAGGTACACATTCCATCACAATTTCCAACAGTTCTATCTCTAAGGCCATAGAGAGAACCAACCTTTTTAAAAGGAAAATCTATATATGGGTGAATCTGCCAAGAGAAAATTAGAAGTGACAGAATAGGGGAAAGCAAAATACATATGAAATGCAGATGGTCCATTCAGTTTCTCTTGGCTCTAGGAATAAGGCAGTGGCAAATCACATTAAAATGTTTCTTTGCACTTGTCTGTGCAAATACCAGGTATCAAAGCTGACTCAAATACTATGTATGTACAATATGTATGTGCTGTATGTATGCATATATGTATAGATGGATGGATGGACAGTATTTATGTATGTAACCTAAATACACTAGGATAATTCTATGCAGTTTCTAATCTTAATTCCTAATATTGACTCTTGTTAGGTATAAAGACATATGAGACCATAGCTGAGATGGCCCTTTCTTCTGTACAATACCAATTTTAACTCTGATTTGTGGACTCATGTTCAGCTAAATTCAAGTGGAATTAGGGACTCTTTGTAGCAATTGAATCTTAACTGAATTAAAGCCTTTATGGTTTTACCAACACTCAGTTTCAAAATAGCCAGCCAAAGTTAGATTCATTTAAAATTGAGGAGATGTGATCTGAATAAATTTCACCAGCTAAAATTCTGGCACTTC